TTGAAATTTTCATACAATATATTTTGATCAAATTTAGATCTCCTGGGGAGGAGATCTGCACTCTCCCCACTTCTGTTTAGTCAGTCATCAAAAAACTTTGGCATGAGAGTAAATGCAAATATTTAAACTAAAAATTCTAAATATGGTTTAGAGAATCTAGATTATCAGTAAATAGAAAAATAGCTCAAATGATTTTTGAATGTTTTCTCACGCTTATGGGAGAAGTTTAAAAATAGAATGGTTGAGAAAATTCTTTGTTCTGAAAGTGTAATAGTGTGCTAATCCCTTAGAAGTGAAAAACTATCCTGGTTGAAATGCAAATGTAACTAATTAAACCTGGGCTTTAATCCCTTTTTGCTTTTGTTTCTTCATTTTGTTGAGGGTTTTTTTTTTTTCTTTTTCTTTTCCATACTTTTTTATTGAATTTTTGTGGTTTTCATACAATATAATTTGATGGTGTTTAGATCCCCTATGCACACCTCCCCTTATTGCTCCTAACCCAATTTAATGTACTCTACTATATATAATAAGGCCTCTAGAGTCTAATTTGTGTCTCCAAATGTCCTTCAGTGTGGGTACATCCACTGGAACCTGGTTAACCTAATTAAGAGTCCCATGCTTGAAATAGACTGTCTCTGCCCCCTGCCAGCAATCATCTGTTGCCACAGTTTCCGGAGACGGGGCTGGAGCTTCTTACCCACTTCCTCATGTCTATGCTGGGATTTTTTTTTTCCTGCATTGAGTTTGCATGGATTTGTGCATGATGTCACCTTGCTGAGTTCACATGAGTAACTGACCAGTTGTCTGGAAAACTGTTTCCTTTTGGTCATTCACCACCTTTGGCACTTACAATCTTTTCACCTCCTCTTCCACAATGACCCCTGAACCTTGTGGGGCAGAAATTTGATATAGGTATCCTGTTCAGAGATAAACACTCTGAAGACTCTTGTTTTCTGCATGTGGGCCAGTTGTGGGTTTCTGTGTTAATCACCATCTACCTCATAAGTAAACTTCTCCGGTGAGAGGTGAGAGATGCATTAATATATGGGTATAATAATAAATCATTAAGAGTCAATTTAATACAATAACTATTTAGTAGAAAACTAGTGTTAGGTTCTCCCATATGTACTGCTACTGGTTTAGCCTCAGTTTCTAAGCCTTATATCAATGCCTGGTGTGGACTTCATCCTAAGAAGCAGACCTTAAATCCAATTAAAGAGTAGTTAGTTACTCCCACAAAATTATGTCACTATTGCACCAGTGGGCATATCTTGCCAGGCCAGTTGTTATTGCAGTTCACAGGATTCACAGCCAGGTAAGGATGATGATGATTTTTTCCTTCTGGTAACTTGCATATACCTTCCAGTACTATGAATGCTAGCCAGTAGAGATGAGATGCTGAAGTCAGTGACAGCTCGATTTCTCCTTGTTTGTTCTACAGCTCGTGTATGTAGTATCTCAGCAATAGGGTCTTACTATCCAGGTCTAGTGAGTAACCAAGAGCAGGGACAATGGCCAGTATTGTTTGAGGGTCTATAGGATGCCTGGTCAACAGCTTCCAGAGAGGGAGTCCATTCCTGACGTTGAGGTGCCTTTTGTTTTCCATTAGCCTATGATGTCTAGAAAGGGCAATGTCTCTCTGTTATGGGATAATGCCGTTTAATCTCTTTTTATGATGAATGTGTATATACTTTAAGAAGGAGAATTCTCTCATTGGAACAGCCCCTGACTTCCTTGCTACATAAAGCATAACCTTAAACCAGTACCTTCCTTCTCCCTCCGTATTCCTGAAATGTCTCACCAGACTCTTTCAAACGAGGCTTGCCCTCAATCTGGCAATCTTGGCCCAGCCCTCATGTCGCTTCTCCCATGATCCAATAGTACTTCTGGGCAAGGCACGGTGGTGCATGCCTTTAATTCTAGCACTTGGGAGGCAGAGGCAGGCACATCCCTATGAGTTCGAGGCCAGCCTAGCCTACATAGTGAGTTCCAGGCCAGCTGGGGCTATGGGCTACAGGGAGACTAGGCCTCAAAAAGACAAAAAAAGAAGAAGGAACAAAACATGTCTGGAAAATATGGCATCGATATCTAATACTATCCTCATAATTTTACCAAAGATTTCCTAGGAACAACCATTTAACACATAGCCATGGCCATTTCAAAATACAGGAAATTTGGACGAATTTGGAAGAAAAGGAGGGACAAGAAAATCTTTTCTTAATGCTTTTTCTATAATACAGTGGACATATGTAGACCTTGCATAACATGAAAGACCAGAAATGATTTATAAACTAATGAAGGAAGAAAAGTGAAAGATCATTATCAAACTCAACAATTGAAACATAATAAGCAATTTAATTTCTTAATCACTTATGAAAATGTATTTTCCAATCAAAGTAAAAACTATCCAAGATATATGAGATTATATAGGTTTTGTAATGTAATTAAAATTGCAATTCAAACATCACTTGCCCCCTCATCACCCCCATAAGCCATCAATGCCCCCCAAATATCCACTTGAATTACTGAGAAATACAGAATTTGCTGAAAATTTTATTGGAGACAAAAGATAGTTTACATCACAAAACCCACATTAGAGAGGTGGTGCAGTCAGTAGGCATCTATTTTCAAGTTGGTTGGCAACTGGTCAGTTGATAGAAGAAACATCATAAAAGATGCTTAAGCAATAGCCAACTCAGTTGATAAATTGGGAAAATCCTGGCTTTTTGACTTGCAAATCTTTCTGATCAAGTTCACAAAAAAATCAGT